CAAATACCAAACATATTGAGATTGACTGTTACTTCCTTTGACAACATGTTGCCAATGGGACTGTGCAACTTGTTTCAATCTGCTCTACAGATCAAACAGCGCATATTTTCACGAAGTCTCTTATTTCCGGTCGCTTTTGCATACTTTTTAACATACTCAAGTTAATCTCTATTGTACCATCTTGGGTATGAGAGGGGCGGGGGAGGGGGGAGGTTAGTTATATTTGTTGTATTGTAAATTGTAGGATTAAGTTTAGACCCAGCCTAGGGGAGAATCATTTTATGTCTTTATATAGGAAAAATTTCAAAATTAGTTCCACAGGTATAGGAGGGTGACAATTTTGGTCTCGACGGAATGCAAAAAATATGAATAGTCCCACAGCTTTTAAAAAATGATCAAAAGTAGGACTTTTTCGCCAGATTTACTATTTCTGGCCCGGAACGCCACGTGGCATCCGACGTGTTCATATTTTTTTACAAGTTGTGGGACTAGTTTTGAATTTTTTGCATTCCATCGGGACAAAAAATGTCATCCCTCTATACTTGTTGGACTAGTTTTGAATTTTTTCCTATCTACGTCGGATGCCAGCGTGTAAAAAATAAGCCACATGTGCGCCAAGTGTACGCCACGTGTGCGCCACGTGTACGCCACGTGGCGCTCCGGGCCGGAAATAGTAAATCCGGCGAAAAAGTCCTACTTTTGATCATTTTTTAAAAGCTGTGAGACTATTCATATTTTGTACATTCCGTCGGGACCAAAATTGTCACCCCCCTATATCTGTGGGACTAATTTTAAAATTTTCCCTCTTTATATATATGTACATACTCTTGTGTTAATACAAAAAATATATTTTTCCCACATTCTAACACTGCTCAATTGGCTTATCAGTGAGTTCCCTGACATTAAAAAAACTAAATTATTACCTTAAAAAGTTATTTATAATTGGACTCTAGATTTTGATTATGATCTTTACACTAACGTTCAAGTTTATGAGGGCCATTGCAAATAATTACTTGTAATGCTATTGTAAATAATAAACAAATAACAAAGTAGTGCAGGTTATAAAGCACTCAACTCATGATAAGTACCTTAAAATTTTCTAATCATACGACTAAAGTACATGTTTGTGGGTCTTATTATATAATGATTGCATTCAATGTCCCAAAAGGAAGACCAACAATCTGGCTTGTGGTTATGCTTGCACGTCGACCTAAATAGAAAGTATATATAAAATCGGCTAAAAAATATAAAATAAGCCCAGATTTTATTTATCCACTGGGAAACATACTCCTTGAGTCAAGCTAAATGGTTGCCTTAATAATCTTGGTTACTTGACATATGTTACTTTTTTCAACTACTTGTTTGTCGTCTTTGGGCATAAATTAAGTGAAGTTTGGATCATGGAATTAAATTAGCAAAGTTTTGAATTTCAGCTAATCCATGCACAAGTTCTAGGAGCATCTACAATGCTTTGGGTTCAATCTCAAAAAATTACATGCCACATAAGAAATAGACCCAATCCAAAAAAATATATTCTCCAATGCAAATAAAAGTAGACTGGGTCCTGCTTATGTGACAGCCAGAAAAAGAGACTCGGTCTCCCCTTAAGTCCATTTTAGACCCAAGTAGAGACTTAGTCTCTTTGCATTGGAGTGAATTTCATTAATTTTACATAATTTTATCCACATCAGCTAAGACTTGGGTTTATTTACTTGTCACAGAGACAAGACTAGACCCAATGCATTGAAGATGCTCTAAGGTTTCGTTTTATATCTTGCTATAACTTGGCGAAAACTATTCATATGAAATTACAAATTAAACTCGAACCGTTTCGATAGAAAATCATAGTTTTTTGATCTGGACCGGTCCGACAGGTCGACTCGGAACCGGAACCGATTCGGGTGGGCTATTTGGATCGGGCAACAAAAGACCCTGTGAAAACCCGGTCAAACCGGCCTTGACCCGTCCGACCCGGGGCATTGACCACCGGTTGACCCAACCCATATATATTTTTTTTATTTTTTTAATTTTTTTTTTGTTTTTTTAAAAATAAAACTATGTATATTTGTTTTATATGGTAAATATTTATCATAAGATACATATTATTAACACTTTAATGTACAAATTTTATACACAAAATATTTAGTTTTGTTACTTTATGTATATTTATATGACAAAAATACTTTATATATAATTTTATAAATTTTAAAATTAATTATCCGGTTCAGCAATTGGCCCGGTGACCCCGGAGACCTGCCCGGGTCGATTATCAGGCCGGGTTTAAAAACTATGTAGAAGATGAATAATCATAGAAGATTCTGTTCAAAATCGCACCGAATCAAAAAATTTGAAATATCAATATTGTGAAGTTTTCATACTGCGTCGGACCTAGCACACGAAAGCAAGCCGACTGCATCTAATTGCATGCTTCGACTCAGTTTTCATTTTTTTCTATACATTTGGGTTTGATTCACGCAAAACCACACACAGAAAAAGTTTGAATTTGAAAAAAGAATTATACCGCACCGCACAATATATAAAAAAAAATGAATTAAAATTTTTACATCAAATTGTATGGTTTAGTTTTCAAATTTCGGATATGTTTGGCTCACGGTAGACAAATTTTTTTTTGTTATGGATAGATTTGAATACATAGTTCTATAAGGCCTCTTTTATTTAACAGGATAAAATATGATAACATACCTTAACCAATTTTATCCGGTGTTTACAAGTAGAGATCGAGATTGAGATAAATTCTATGTGTCATGTATGTGGCAGGTGGACACGCATGTATCCATGATTGGTAGGATAACTCAATCATATAAAGGTGAGATATTTTTATCCCAACACAAAAATGACCTTTTGATCCAAAAAAAACTACACGTATAATGTCTATTATAACTTTGAATATCTAAATAATTACAGATTTAGTAAAGCTGACTCACGAGATAAAATCATCCTATTTCATCCCTTAAAGTAAACGAGCCCTAACAATATTCAAATTTCCATTTTCACCACAATATCTATTAAATATATGCCACGAGAAACCAACTTACCAAATTGAAACCCTTCAATGCTCTCCTCAAAATATCCGGACCTCCTTAAATCTCCACCGCGAGAAATTATAATATGATTCTAATTATTATATTCTTTTCCATTTATTTTTTCTTTGTAGTAGTAGTAGATTACAAGCATTTGCCATTTAGATTACAAGCATTTTCAAATTATGAGCGATCTACAAGATAAAATATAGGAAAAGTTGAAAATAGTCATTCAATCCAATTTTGATCTTCAATTTTTACATTATTAACTTATTTCGAAGACTACTTTCTTTAGAATAATTTTTTTGTCAACTGAAGCATGAATTCAATCAAATACATAATCTCAAAGTAAATGTAACTTTCACTACTGATTACGTTCAAAATTAGTTAATTAGCTATCCGGATAATATGCTCCAAGACTTTTTAATTTAAAATGAAAAAAAAAAAGAAGAGTTCAAGTTCTAACGTGTTTATATTTATAAAATCACATTTTAATCATCTAAGACTTTTAATATACACATTATTAGAAAAAAAAAAGAAGGGTTCAAGTTCTAACGTATTTTATTTATAAAATGACATTTTAATCATGTAAGACTTTTAGTAATATATACATTATTAGTTCAAAAATTATTGTATGATGTTGTTTAATTGTTAGATGAATTTAGTTGTCACATTTTAATAAAAATACTTACTTACACTATTAAATATTATATTTGTGTTTATGTTATGACATATATATAATATTACAAAATATGATTGTCCAATGACTTTACATTATTAATTTTCTTATTGTTTTACTAAATAAAATTTAAATCTCATATTATACTAGTAACTAGGGGCGTACCCAGGCAGGGGCCCGTAGGGACACGGGCCCCTATGCAATTTTGTAAAAAGTTAGTACATTTATAATTATACTGTAAAATAATTATTGAGAGATTTTCTTAAAATATAAGTTTTTTGTATTATGTTATAAGCAACATATATAAATGAGTTACGTCGTTTTTTCACAAAAGTCAACATTAATTTTGATACTGTTGAATTTTAGGTGTTCTTAAAATTATTATTATAAGTTTAAAATTAGCTACTAAATTATATTTGTCATTGATTTTTAACCTAATAAAATATTTATCTTTATTATAAAGAATAAGTCCACGAATGTTGACTTTGTAAGAATATCCAATGCAAAAAAATGTTGGTATTTGAAAAAAATATATTTAATGAGATTTGAATTTATATAATTATGAGTAATATAATATATAAGAATAAACAGAGAATAAATATTATTTTTTTTACTTTTGTGCCCCTTCAGTCTTACGAGTCTGCGTCTGTCCTGCTAGTAACTCATAATATATATAGCTAAGTTCGAAATTGGTAGTTTACGAATAAAAAGTAAACTATTTTGCACCACTACTCATTGGAAAAATAAGTAAACAATTTAAATTGTTAGAAAAATAATTAAACACGTAAAATTGAGTGAGTCAAAAAGTGTGTTTGTATACAAATATATCCGTTTAAAATGAGTTTCTTTTATTAACCAGAGTTAATTTTGAAAAAAAAAAAAGTATAGTTAGTTGTTAGTGGAATTTGATTTTATATTATAGTAATATTTTAAAAAAAATAATTAAAATTGATTTGATATAAAAGTAGGAGAGAAATAATGTTAATTGTTAAGTGATAGTTAGTTTAAAATTATATGAGTAAAAGAATATTAAATTAAGATTAATATAATGTGTAACAAAAATTGATTGATATTATTTAATTATGTTAATTATATTGAAGATAGTAAAATAAAGTTAAAATTGATTTAGATTTTGCAAATAAATTGAATAAATTGAGTTTTATGGTATACAAAGATACCCAAAATGACTAAATATATTTTCACGGGAATGAAACATAGACGTTGGAATTACGAAGAATTTTCGAAGTAAAAAAATGTGCCATAGGTTATAGACGTTGGAATTACCGTAGAATTTTCAGAGTAAAAAAATGTGCAATATATTAATTAGCGCCGCGTACCTGTCCCCTCTGCCATCCTAATTTTTTGCAGTTACAATTTATTATTAGTTTATTACTCCCACATCCTCTTCCTCTCTCTCTACTCTTTTCCTCTTTAACGGATTTCTTGTCTGCCCATTGTTCACATTTTCGTATTTTTTTGAACAACAGAGCTCAACAGTCGCAGCAGAAAGGTATATTGCCTTTGTTTTCTCGTTTGTTCTATCTGTAATGTTTTTGAAGTACTATGATGTTTTGCCTGTTTGCTTTTATTTGTCTGTTCTTTGTCGATATCTGTTCCTTATATGTAAAAATTGTAACTTTGCACGAGGTAGTGATTATTGGTTTCTTGTTTGTGGTTTCTTGATCTGACTTCGATATGGGTTTTTTGTTGAACACAAGATTTTGTGTTGAATGAGTTAATTTGATCGATTTTTGCCTCTCAAACCCATTTGGTCT